CCAGTGCCTGGGGGACAGGTCAAGCCCATACCAGCAGAGCAGCAGGACTTGAACCCTCCTAGCACTGGGTCCCCTGCCAGGGCTCCTCTGGCCAAGTACAGTCCAGCAGTCTTGCTGCCATGCACAAAGCCCTTCCTGGGGGGCTACAACCCCACCAGACAAACACCCACAGTCAAAACAGGCAGTTTTTGCAAAGCAGCTCCCTGGTGCGCAAGAAACCCACCCAGCACCACATAGAAGGCTCAGGCAGGAGAGGACCTCTACACTCTCTGTTCCAACCTCTTGCCCTAACTTCATAGTAGATCAGATTGCTCAGGGCCTTGTCCGCATGAGTTTTGAATATCTCCAAGGGTGGATATCCCAGCACCTCTCTGGGTCACTCTGTCCCTATCCCAGGGTAGCTTCACTTTCATTGGGAAAATGTTTTCCCTATACCTAGCTGGAGTTTCCCTTGCTGCAATTTGTCCATTATCTCTTGTCCTTTCATGTGCATCTCTGAGAAGAATCTGGACCCCCCATCTTAACAGGCTCATTGGATCACTGAAAACAGGAGAACTCCAACTTCACCTCTCCAGGCACCCAGAGGACATCTGTCCACTAGCCAAAACAGAGCCAGTTGAGTAGCTCTGACCTGGGTTTCTACGACCTTTGTGTCCAGCCTTAGTGATTAACCCTGCCCTTCACAAACACTTGCACAGCTGAAGCAGTTGTGTATGCCCCATGCCAATACACCCAAGAGACCATCCATGGCCAGAGCTGAAGCAGAGAGGAGGGCTGCATGCCAGGCTAGCACAGACCGTCAGTCGGTGCAGGACTCTGTGGCACATCCCACCAAGCATGGTGAGGGACAATGACCCTCCACGCCGGCTCACCAGCCCCAGCCCCGCTCCCACGGGTGCTACCTGACAGGCAGTCGTGGCTTGATATTGACAGGCGGCGGTGCGGGGACGTCGTTGGGAAACATGTCAATCCACATGTGCAAGGAGCCCTGACGAGAGAAGACAGCAGAGAGATTTCAAAAGACAAGCCACCCTCCAGCTCTTCAAGGAGCAAGGGCTTGATCTTGCAAGGAAAGCCCTCACCAGAAAGCCACTGCTTGGCTCTCTCCATCCTCAGTACTTCAGAGTGATGTGTGACTGGATTTTAGATAGGGGAAAATTTAAAACCACCAAAAATTGCTTATTTCCCTCCCCACCCTGCTCCCAAGAAAAACCATTTCAGCTGAACTGAGTCCATTGCAAACAGAGGCAAATGTGTCCCTGTGTCTTAACAAGAAGCATACGATGACACATCGCTTCGGCATAACCAAGAAAACTAAAAAGTGATGGATCTGACCCTCCCCTTCCCACATGCGTTTCCAATGCTGACCAAAGTCAGAGTGACTGCAGAACTTTGCTTTGTTATAGATCTCCAGTACCCGAGGGAACAAGAGATGTTCAGTGCAGGACACTGAAATGGTTGAGCTCAGATCACTGCACTGCAGTGATAAAACTGAGGATGAACGTTCTTCCTCCAGCCAGCAGTTACATCGTGTCCCCAGGGAGAAGCCAAGGGAGTAGAACGGGCCTCTTGCAGGGGGACCAAAGCAGCAGTGATAGGGGACAAAGCAGAGGAAGAGGCAGGGACAGGCAAGGACACTACCACCCACCATGGTGCATGGTGGCAGGGCTCAGGAGGCAGAGCAGGCCCCTTGCCACCCACACAGCATCTTCATCAGAGCAGTGCTACGTGGCCTGAGGAGACGGGAAGGACTCTGGGCCACCAGCACTGTGACCACTACATCCATGGACAGAGGAGCCTTGAGGAAAAGGCGTTCAGAAGCACCACGTGAGGTCAGAGGGCGGATCTGAGCAAAGGACACCCAAGGCCAACAGTCCTCACTTCATAGCAGAGCCAGCCATCCACAGACACAGCTGCAGTCACCCACCCAGGAAGGGGCAACGCATGGGATTCATGCCATGATAAAAAGACAAAAGGGCAACAGGGGACCAGCCAGGGTGCTGGGAACCAGTTGCCCCGAAGGTCCTTCTCCAGAGCAGTGTCTAGGCTGGGCAAGGAAATACAATCTTACCTGCACAAGCCCAGGATTCTCCGGGTTGTACAGGGACCGGATCTCCACATGCTCGGGTACCAGTTTGTACCCATATCCTGGCATCTCTTCCCAGTGCTGCAGGACGTACAAAGCCTTATGTTCATCATCCACTGGCCAGTTCTCATCTGCCATTCCTCTCTTGTTCCTGACAGAGGCCTCTGCAGCAGGACACAGCCAGGTAGAAGATGAAGGTATCTGGCTGGCAAGAGCCGTGTCAGGACGCTAGTCACAGGCACAAGTAAGGGAAGAAGATAGACTGGGCAAACAAGCACCTCCCCAGAAAAACAAAATGGGGAGAAGCAGGAGGGCAAGGATGAAGGGAACAAGTTCAATATGTTGCAGTGATGAGGAAAACTGTAGGCAGGAAGGCAAACAAGCTAAGAGAAATAAGAGGAAAAGCACAAAAAATTAATTTACTGTGGCCCTGGGAAAAGGATCCAGAGGATGCTAAAGAGGATGTCACCCTGAGGGGCAGTTTAAGTCCCCATGTCTCTGTGGTAGTGCCAACAGATCCATAGATGAGCGCTTTTGCCCTAGAAGTGCTCCAGGAAAGCACCGGTTGTCACTTGGCAGTGACAGGCAGCTGTGCTCTCCATTAATTAAGAGTCTGTGCAATTAATTGACTCATTTGGCATGGTGAAGCCAATTGGCAGTTCAAGCCCAGATCCTGCTGGTGGGGAGAAAATCAAGAACCAACAGGTGAGGACGCAATGTCCCACCCACCCCTGCGTTTATGGACAGCATCTGCCCTCTGGAGATCAGTCCAAGACCGAAACCATCCCAAGCAGTCCGCAAGCACAACAGAGGTTCATCGGGCACCAACTGCAGCTACGTTTGAACCAGAGCCGGCTCTCAGGGGGACACCAGGAGAGCATCTCATTTCTCCCTTCCCAGCTACCCAGTGAAGTGAGAAAAGGAGAAAAGGGCTTTTAGAGGCTCCTTGCCCTCTCCTGAGCAGGATTTCTTTCCCCTTCATGACATAAGCCATAGAGGTCAGCAGAAAGCTGGGGAACAGCAGCACTGAAATGAGGAGAAGGTAAAGTTGGCCATACACATAGGTGTCCCCTCTCTGGGCAGGTCGGGCACAGGGATCATCCTTCCTACAGGCTACATAGCATTGCACTGCAGGACCCAGCCATCCACAAGCCGGCCACATCTGCCCCATCCTTTCCTCCAGCCTGGATTTCATTGCACAGGTGTTGGCCCCTGGGGGGAATGTGCACAGCAGGGACAGGCCTGCGCTCAGGGCAGTTCTCCATCACTGCTGGTGGAGGGCATGAAAGGTTGCTGTGTTCTTGGGCATCTGTGGCCCTGGCTCAGGGTTCATAATGCCAGTGAGAAGGAAAGAAAAACAGCAAAGGAGAAGCAGAAGCTGCCCGCAAGGAGGAAATCAACAGTAGTGAGGAGCAGTGGGGAGTCACCCAAGGGACCTAAAGCCACCAGAAGCAAAGAGCATCCCTGAAGGACAAAGACAGCTAAAAACAGGAAGGAGACTGAAAAAGCCCTCCAAAAAAAAAAAAAAAATATGCCAGTATCTTGCTGATGGTGGTGACAAGCAGATGGAGGTACAGGTTTGTGCACCAGTGTCAGCCACCAGAATAAGCTACGCCTTCTCTCGCTGCGCAAGTCATTGAACCCCGGTGCACAACACACACACACAAGCATGTCTACTTTGCTCCACCCACTGCCTGGGAAGCCACTTTGGGATCTAATGGCCTGGATCACATATTCTGCCAGTGCGACACCGTTGTCCACTGAAACCAGGCCACTGAGCACTGCGGATGCTCCCCGCAGTGACCCAGAAAGCTAGGTCAAGCTGGGCACAGAGTGGAGGCAGCCAGCCTGGGCAATTCAGGGAGGAGAGGCTGGTGGGTCCCCAAACCTCTCACCAGCACGTGCACTGCTGAGCACAGGCAGCTGTTTAAGGGAGCACTCATTGTTCTCCAGGCCCGCTGTACCTTCAGGAAAAGCCTCTGGAGGGACCTTGAATATTTTATTGTCCACTTTCACCTCCTCCCGTCTGTACTCTGCTGCAGGGAGCAAGTTTTTCTTGCATAAACTATCCAAGATCTGTGTGGGCTTGAAAGCATCTCGCCACATGTTGTAGCCATTTCTGCATGGAAGGAAGAACATCAAGAACATCTTCAGCTTAGACACAACAAGTTTTTTTCCTAGGGTGTGAAACGCCCTGCCTTCCCTACAGCACAGGCTATGCCACCAGATCCCTGCTCAGATTTCCAGTGAGAGAACCACAGGCACACAAAAGCTTAATGAATTAAAACCTTAACAAGCTCTCCTCCCCCAGAAGGAGCCAGGCTTGCACCCCACAGAACCATTAGCTTCAGAGCAGCAACAGGAGCAATTCCATCTGCAGCTTGTAAGTGGGAGAGAGGTTTTAGCAGTGCTGGGGTCTCAAGTCCATGCCCACAGCTAGTTCTCCAACAGCAGGGTAGGAGGAGAGATGTTTACAGAAAACTGGCCAAAGACACCAGAGAATCCACATTGAATGACGCCAGAGGAAAACCGATGTCACGAGTCTTGCTGCTCACAGAATTAGCTACTGCCAGAGAAACTGCGCTACTTTCTGAAAGAGGTCAAAAGAAAATCAATGTCAAGTGAGCACTTTTCTCACAGAACACCAATATGAAAGCACTAAAGAATTTTTTGCTACTATATACGAAATATATTAGTCTGCAGTAGGCATTCGAGCTGGTAGGAGTCTAAAGGAGATGGAGTTACCCATGTAAGTTGTAGTGAATCTGTGGAACACCTGCTCAAAGGATACTGTGGATGCAAGCTCTGTCCTGCAAAACTGGAGGTGCTCTGTTACCCACCCAAATGGCAGGCGAGAAGAACGCGGCTCGTGGCCCTAATGCGTCACACCAGTACCTACACGTTGTACTGAGAAGCCACTCCACAGTTGGCCCTGTGCTTGCTGTAGAATCGATTCTCCAAGTCAATCTTGGTCTCCCCAATCAGATCATCAGACCCAACCAAATCATGGTCAAATATTGCCACAGTGAGCTCTGATTCCATGGGAAAGGAGACTGTCAGCTCCACAACTCTGGACAGAAGGAGACAGGGAGAGTGCAATTAGCAAAGAGGATGGCAATGAAACACATGCTCTGCTTTGATCATCCTACACATTGAAGAACTGCATTTGACAGCTCAAAGACCTCTGATAGAGTTTGATTCTCTGTAAGTTCAGTGTGTGCAGTTTTCAGCACATACAGTTTTGAGTGTGCATGTTCAAACAAAGGAGTTACTTTTCCAGGAATGTATGCCCTTGGATAGGGGTCCCGGAGCTAGGGAAAAAGCTCTCCAATGCTCTGTTGCTGCTTGACTTGCTACTTTGTCAAATCAAGCCCTTTGGAGGGCTCCCCTCCTAACCCAAAACACTTATGCCTCCTGTGTCAGCCAGAGGCAACAGACATGCCTGGGCCCTTTGTGTTACACCACAAGATTCTCTAGTAGAAACGAACAGAAGACCACACGTGCTGGGCCACAGCCTGAGCCCCAAACTTGTGCCATTCCTATTAAACCTGCTAGATGAAAACTTCCTGCATACTCTCCAAACACAGGATTGAGCTGCTTTGGGATGTATCGCTCCTTTGTGTCCTTCTGCTCCTGCCCCACAGTCACCACCACATAGGGGTCTGCTTTGCCATTGGGGTCTGCTGGAGACAGGTTCGTAGCCTGGAATACACAAGAGGACAGTACTGCCATACGTCAGCTGCAGAGAGCAACCTGCACAAGGAACACTGCACAGGCCCAAGACCACCCAAGCCCACCGGTCAGGTCCCTCCAGCAGCTGCCCTGGCAGTGAAACAGGCACTTGTTCCCATGCAAATCCCCACTCAACAAGCCACCGGTGTCTCCAGCTGTCGGCCCACCTACTTGCTCACCGTCTCAAGGCAGATGAGAGGAGCTGAGAAATACACATCTGGATTTTTACAGAATCACAGAATCGATTTGGTTGGAAGAGATCTCTGGGATCATCGGGTCGAACCTTTGCCCTAACACCACCACGTCAACCAGACCATGGCATTAAGTGCCACGTCCAGTCTTTTCTTAAACACCTCCAGGGATGGGGACTCCACCACCTCCCTGGGCAGCCCATTCCAACACCTAACGACCCTTTCTGTGAAGGGTCCTGTGAAAGGTCCTTTTAGTTTCTCCTGAAGTAACAAAGCTTGCAAAGCTCCCCATGGACAAGATGCAGCTGACTTCCACTGGGCTGGCAGAGTCTTCAAGCCAGCATCGAGTTTTCACAAGTGCCACTGCTCATATTTACTGAGCAGAGAATGGCAGAAGGTCCATGGGGAGGGACAGACCTCCCAGCATTACTGCCACCACCAGAGACTTACCTTAACGATGTAAACTCTTACAAGAACCTTGATGGGTCTGTTCCTCGGAACGCCCTGGGAGACCTTGGGCTCCGTGCCGGCTTCCTCAGTGGGGTAGACATAGAAGGAGCCCTGCAGAAAAGACATTTCAAGTAACAGCTAGATGCAAATGAGAGTATCTTCTCAGATGGGATTGGAGCCACCAAGACCAGCTTCACCTGCCAACTAGAAAATCAGAGCCATTGCCCCATGCAGACCTCAGCCACCCTGTGCCCATGGGGACAATCCTTTCCAAAGGCAGTGTCATGTCCACACAGCCCAGGTAGTCCCTGTTTGCAAGGTAGGCTGCAGACTGTCAGACTATGGCCAATGCCAGAAGATCTGCACATCTCCAGGCACTTTGGACTGCCAAAGGCAGGGGGCACAAAAGGTCTTCTAGGGACCTTCTTGAGTCAACTTCTGTAGTTGATATTTCAGAGTCTTCAAGAGCTCCTGGGCGGGAGGATGATGCCTCTTTTAAACAAGTCTTACTTATTCTAAAACCAGTGAGGCTCAGTAATTCTTACTTGCATACTGAACATACCCAGAGGCCCCAGTCAGTATAAGAGCCCTTTATGCTTCATGCTTTCTCCTTGCAATAGCTAAAAAAATCTCAATCAGGTACATTTATCAACTAACAAAGGACCACAGTACACAATTGCTTCAACAGGCATCAACAGTACCCTAGCCATGCCGCGTTGTGGCCTCACATCACCTTGTATACACATGCACCCTCCAAGGCTCTGCTGGTGTCAGCGGGCTCTGAAATACAGGTTGTCCTAAGGATTTTCTTCCACGTGCAGCACAAATATCATTCAAATGCTACAGTACCTTGTACTTCCCCACAAAATGTTCATCTTCATTTCCATCTTCATCCTCATTTGCTTTGCCGCGATGAAGAGGGAAAACACATAGCCAGTCTTCAAAATTACCAAACTCATTTTCCAGCTCGGAGTTGTAGATCTGAAATAAGTAGAAATTCATTTTGGGCCTTTTCCTGCCATCTTAAAGGGGAGGAGTGTCAGAAAGACCATCCTTTCCCTGCCTCAACCATTTCACCTGGTCCTACCTTACCCCTGTATTACTCAGCGCAGGGTGTTATGGTTTTCCCTTATCCCCTCAGGTCCATCCTCTGACGATCACGCCCATCCCAGCTTGGCTCCAAGGTCCCACTAGCTGTTTCAAAGCCCAGCAATGATGGGGGCCCAGTACACACTGCAGGTTCTCCTCCCAGTCTAACCTCCTCTGCAGGGAGTGAGGAGGACATAGACAAATGGATGAGGTTGAAAGAGGCCAGATCTGTCACCCCAATAATCACCTGAAGGGTGGCGATGAGCTTCCTCTTGGGCCTAGCAGGTTCAGCCTCAATTACTGCCTCATCTTCTGCTTCCACGTCAATGGAGGATGCATTTAAATTCCCTCCATCTAGAAATGGCAATAGGGGATTAGGAGATGCTCTGATCTCTCCCATCATGTCAAGTGTCTGTCCACAAATTGACCCCAGCGACAGCTTTCTCCTTCACCCAGGGCTTTGACCTGTGTCAGGGTAACTGGAGCTACCACTCTCTGTAACAGGTGGCTTTATGGCACCTCAGGTTTCCCAGCAAGGCATGGCTCAGGGAGGGACACAAAAATTGGCACAGACTTGCCTGCCTGCATGGCTGCTGTTTAGGAAGGAAATGGGAGAGACCAAACGGAAGAAGGTGGCTGGACCAGCCCAGAGGTGCTGTCAGGGAAGGCTAACCCTCTTCTTTGGGTGGATGTCTATTTGATGGCCTCCTGGTTTGGGTGGGGGTCTAACTGAAGCATCACTACCAATTTGGGCACAGGCAGCTGTGCCTAGAAAAAGCATAGCTAGACCTTTCTCTGGGGCACCACCAACCCAAGGACAGCGAGGTTGTGTCCTTGCCCCATTTCCCAAAGACCCCCAGATCCCTTGAGCACTAATGGCATGCAGGTACCCTCCAGCCCTCTCCTTAAACAGGATTTACATCATTTCTATACTTACTATCTCACCTCCCCAGGTCATTGCTAGGTGAATCACTGCTTACCCCTCTGCAAACCTGAGCCCACAGCTGTAACACTGTTCTCAGATCATCTGTGTATTACTGCTGTCTTTCTGTCACCTCACAGTGAATCCTGTACCCCAGGTGAGTATCCCACGTGCACAGAGTGATGCCCAGCTCCTGGACGGTTTTGCCTCTCCACCATCCTCTCTCTCCATCCCACCTTTGTTTCCTGCTCTCACCCTGACAATCCCATGATCTTTGCAGCTGATTTTTCTGCAGGGTTTTGCTCACTCAGGAAGGCTTTTGCTTCAACACCATTTTCCAAACTTTTCTAAGGAAAGTTTGGTGTTTTCAACTTGAAATAGCCTTTGTTAGCGCTTGCCAATGTTTCCAGTCTCTCTGCTCCCTTTTACGTTGTTGTTGCTGAATGCTGCAAAGCCACTGCCTGCTCAGACCACATTCCCACAAGCCCAGCACCTTCTGGGATGGCGTAACTCCTGGCTCTCCCCACAGAATAGCTGGATATTGCTAGAGGACTCACCTCCATCATTCAGGTCATCATTCTCAGCATCTTCCTCATCACCGCGTGTCTGAAACACACACACAAACAGTCACCCTGCATCCCTGACAGCGAAGGCTTCTCCATCCAGGCACAGGACACTGCCAAAGCTTTCCTGCCAGCAGAGTCAGTAATACCTAGCCTGAGATCATTTAGCACTAACACCATTGCAGGAGGGTATCCAATGAGTGCCTTAATGACCTTTTCTTCTCCCCAGATCCTCCTGCTGGCTTTTTTGATTGGGATTTAAGGGACGCAGGGCAAGGAAGGAAATTTGGGGCAGACTTGCTCCCATAGCACATCCTGGGAAGACAGCCAGGACAGAGAGTAAGCAGCATGAGAGCCCCTGCATTGCAGCTAAAATCAGCAATGTCACATTTTCAGGAGTGTCCCAACAAAAGCCCAGTCACATTCTCAAAACCACTTGGGCACCCAGCCTCAGGGATGTTCCAACATCCATCGCCTGCTGAAATCAGTCTACCTGGTGGATGCTTGGTACCTGGCTACCGTAAGTGTGCTTGACACTCAAAAGCCCACATCTTGCTGCAGATCCATGCCAGGAGGGCTCCTATGACACTCAGTGCTGTTGAAAACATCTTCCTCAAGCCAGTGCACCCACTTTTCCTCTCTGCTGGCAGCGATCACAAAAGATTACCTGGTTATACAGCTCCTTCAGGGACTCATAGTACTTGGACCACCAATCCAGTTCTTCCAGCTCTGGTTTTTCCTCTTCATATTCATCCTCCTTCTTTACAAGCTTATTGATAGGAATTTTCTTCAAAGGAGCCAAGAAAGAACAGAGAAAAGGGTTCAGGGGGAGGAAACGACCGCCCAGGACACCCATGCACCCTGCTCCGCTGCCCTGGGAGCCTCTGGCAGAGGGTCAGCTTTCAGGCAGAGCACAGGAGGTGCAAAGCCTCCTGTAGCCCCGGGTTTGTGCTTTGCTACAAAAGCAGTGGTCTTCAAGGCACAAAGCAACACAGCTCTCCTCCCTGTGCCAGCGTCCAGCCATGCAGCAGTGCCAACGAACAGGCAGGAGGAGAGGAGTGTTTGGGTCCAGAGAAAAAACTGGTGGTTGAAACCTAACTCTGAACTTCTGAACTCTCTTTTTTGTTTGTAACCTTCAGTTTGGCTTTCCAAACTTCAACATTTGTTGGGCTCAACACATCACTCACCTTCACAAGACTCAGGGGGTGAGTGCTGGGGCCTGGGTCACCAGCTGCCAGGCCAATGTTCACCACAGTCTGAGAGGGAAGGCGCTGGGATGAGACCTTCCGAGCTGAGATGAAGAGAAAGAGCTTTATGTTTCCATGCATTTATTTCCATCCACTGCTTCCTACTTTTTGACCAGTTGTTATTCCACAGGAAAACCCTCCCTCTTACCCCACTATAGTGTGATTGCTTTTAAAGCTTTTGACAGCAGACCCTGTGAAAATATTATTGGAAATCCAATAAAATACAGCGCTGAGACTGGCCACCATCACCAACATGTTTGTTGCTGACTCCCAGGAATTCAGATTCGTGAGATAGACCTTCCCTACTCAGAAATGACCACAGATCGATCAATCTTTTGCTCCTTCCCCTTCGTGCCATATTTATATACACAACTCCAGATCAGCAGCTCTGGCTGTTGCTATCACAGAACCCTTTAGTGAATCCGTTACCCAAGGAACAGACCTTGACCCAACAATGTGTGAGAAGCATAAACATTTCAATCCTTGGTCCAAGTGGGCCAGCTCCCTAAAGCTTGATGGAGGTGTCACTGGGGACAGCTCTCCAGCCTGGCTATGCAGAGGGTTGAAATAGATGAATAGTCCAGCCCAGGCTAAACATCTCTGATTCTAGACACAAACTTTACACCGGGATAAGTAACTGTCTAGTATCTATCCCCAGCTAAATGTCTTGCTGGACTAAGATGTCTTCACAAGCCATTATCCCTCCTCTACTTTCTACAAATGTAAGGCAAACAGTGCCTGGGAAAGACACCCCAAGGAGGTGCCACATCCACAGATAAACAGTCCTGCGGCTGTGGCGGGGAGGCAAATGTTAAGCTAAATTTGGAGAAAACAGTCTGTAAATTGCCCTTTGCCATCCCCAAAGAGCGATACCAGCTCTTACACAGCACTCCATGGCTTGGCTGCTGCTGCTTCCTGAACATCAGCAGGGACTCGAGCACTAGATCAGAATCACAACTCACCTCCCACCCTCACTGCCCCACGCTGTGCTTTTGCTGGACATCTTATGGCTCTTGGGAGAAGACTTTGCTGCCTGGCTAGGAGGGAGCAGAAGGGCCAGGGATCTCTGCCACTGGCAGAACCTGCCTGCTGCCTCCATGGGAACCTCGCCAAGCAGCTCACCTTTGGGCACATCTTCTGGTTCCTCCTCCAGCTCTCTTGGAGAGAATTTCATCACATCGGACACAACGTGGGTACCCACCAGCACAGTGCGCCCAAACGCCCGCTTTTCCACCACAAAGATGCTGAGGGGAGGGTGCAGGTAGACCTGCTCCGGGAGCTCCTGCAAACAAACCATGCACCAGCTTCACAGGAGCAAGGGTGATACCCGTGGCACCCCCACCACACGTGGGGAGGTCTGATAGTGCCTTGCAGCTCTGCCCAAAAACCAAAGCCTTGCAGTGAAAGGCAATGGCTGAAACTGCTCTTGGTGGGCAATTTCGCAAAGGTTTTGATCTGCAGCTGAAGCATGTAGCCACGGGAGAGAAAAATCCCAGGGGCAGCTCCCCTCCTGTTACCTTGCCCCCTGCAGACAGGCAGTGCACGGGTGCAGGACAGCCACAGAGGCGCGGGTGCAGCCCAGCCACAGTGCACCCTGGCATGGCAGGACCCCCCTTCCCACTCACCACGTCCATGTATTTGACCAGCTCGGTGAAGTTGGGGTTCTCTTTGTAGGCCACGATCACCTCCGACTCCACTTTCTTACCAGCACATTCAATGATCACCTGGGGCTGATCCACCTCGAACAAGTTCACCCGCTTCAGGTCCCGCAGGCCCCAGAACAGGATCTGAAGCACAACACAAAGACGCTGGGCGGCTCGTGACATGCCAGTCATGGCACAGCCACGCAGCCTGCAACCCTGCCCGGCGATGCCACCTCCCTGACCCCCCAGGACACAGACCCCAAGAGAGGCAGGAGGCCACTCTCCCAACCCAGTCATCCAACAGCTCTGGCTGTTAAACTCCTGAGATCATTTCTCACTCACGTCAAGCACCTCCATTTCTGGCATCTGCACAGGCCTCAAAGGCATATTTGAGCTCCGGGCCAGACCCCTCCCCACGCCCTCTCCTCTGCACAGGCCAGCTGTGCTGTCCGCTTCGGGCAGCCCGGCGGGGAGCCAGCCCAGTCGAACGCAGCACACCTCTATGCGAAACTCCTTCAGCACTGGGCGGATGCCCTCAGGGATGACGAACCGTCCAGCATGCGGGTCTCCCAGGTAGTTGGGTTCCTTGGGCTCCACATCCTCGGGCACTGATGGCTGAACAGGTGGAGCCAGGGCACAACAAGTGATGAAAACCATTTCTATGCCATGCCATGTCCCCTCTTGCTCCCCTCTTGATCTGTGCTCACAGGCTCTGTCCCTGCAGCCTTCCTTCAGCCGAAAGCCAGATGTGGCTTTCAACAGGGAGTCCTCTGGTGGGCTCCATGCAACCAGCTCCTCACCCACACAGCTCTCCCCAGAGAGCTGGCAACCGCATGCGGCTTCCGACAAGCCCGTTACCTCCAAATAGCCGCTGTAGTCCAGCTCAATCAGCTCGAAAGTGGCAATGAGCTCTCCCGCTGCTTTGGTGCCTTTGTAGAAATCGAAGAACTGCAGGGCAGGTTTAGTGTACGGCTCATCGACCAGCTTCACCTGCGGGATGGCAAAGGCCTGGCCGAGGAACTCAGGGGAGCCCTGCGGGAAAGGGGGGAAGGGGTCAAAGCATCCCTGTGTTATCTCACCACCTCAGAGAAAAACCACCGCTAATTCCAGCCAATCTGGGACAGTACAAGACCACTCTTCGACCCTTGCCATCCTCAGCTTTGATTTCCTCTGCTCCATCCAGAGCTAGGAGCAGATGAGATGCATCTGCAGCAGCTCCTTTTAACTCCCAGCCCATCTCCATGCAGAACTGGGCAAACAGCCTGGGACCACGCACCAGAGGACATCAAAGCTAGACCAGGTTGCTAAGAGTCTCCTCCAGCCAGGGCTTGAACGTCTCTAAGGACAGAGATCCCACAAGCTCTCTGAGTTCTAGGTCCAGCATTTTAACTCCCTCTGGGTGAAAATTGCTTCCTTATACCAAGTTGGATTTTTTTCTTGTTCCAACTCGTGTCCGTTGCCCGTCACCCTGCCCCGGGTACCTCCAAGAGAAGCCCAACTCTACCCTTTCTACTCTCTCCCATCAGACAGCTGCAGGAAGCAATAAGACATTCCTTTGCCTCATCTTCTCCAGGCTGAACATACCCAGCTCTCCAGCTCTCCTCACTCTGTCCTCTGCTCCAACCCCAACCATCTTGGTGGCCTCCTCTGGACTCACTCCAGTATGTCAGTGTCTGTCTTGTACTGGGACCCAGGAAATGGACTCAGAAAGCTGCCGAGCTACACAGGCAAATCTGGTGCGAGCTACGCCATTCCCCTTACTATAACAAAGAGGCCCCAGGAGAGGAGTGTGACTTCAAAGTACTGATGAAGAGAGAAAAGGGAGGGCTGAGGAGGGATGGAAGATGACACTTGGGGGACAGAGGGGAAGGAACAACCCTAAAAGCTACATCATCTGCCCCTGGCTATGAGCCCTCAAGCCCCCCGCAACGTGAGCCTGTCGAGGAAGCAGGGCAGGTAGCTGGGAGAGGCGCAGTGCTTCTCCGAAGAGGAGAGATCCCGGATCCACCGATCACTCATCAGGCCCTGGCTTGGGGCACCTCTGAGCCATCTGCATGCTGCAGCCAGCAGCTTCACCCCAGCTCATAGCAGAAGTTTGCAGAAAGTCTCAACCTCAGCCACAGCCCCCAGGACTCACCACCACCAGTGGACCCGGATCAAGTCGAGTCACGGAAAGCAAACAGAGATGTGGCTCCCGCGTGCCCGCTCGCAGCACCCGCACGGAGCTCCTCTGCCTTTCCTGTCCTGGAAACGACAGCAGGAGGGCAGCATGGCAATACTCACAAATTTATTGTGGCTGAAAAGGTTGATTATAACGATGGGGGTCTCTGTTTTCAATTCTTCTTTTTTCCCATCAATAATGAGCTGGTCAAACAGAAGTAGCTCATTCCACATGGGGCTCAGTGTCTCCTCCAGCATCTGCAGACAGAGACAGGAGGCCTGAGCATCACACGGCCACTGGAAACAAACCACGTGCACTTTGTACAAAGTGTGAGGAAGCGTGGGTTGATCCCCTCTCCCACGCAGCCACACACAGCTGGCACCCGGCAGGAGGGGAGATGGTAAAAAGCGTGAAATCAGCACTTGGGGCCAATTACCACATGTCAATCCACCTTTGAGACCATGCTCAATGATATGTATGTCTTGTCAAGTGTTCTCTGAACATAGTCACGCTGCCCAGAGCACACAAACGCCTTGTGCCTGGAGTTACAAAATTTCCCGGAGGACTGCCACAGCACTGGCCTTCAACATGTCAGTGAGATGTTTCTCTCCTCAAGTCCCCAAGAAGGCAGAGGCAAGACTTTAAGGGGTCTCACCCTGGTGGTCTGGCAATGAGTCGAAAACACCACCCTTGCAAATGGATCTGAAAGGCCATTGTCATCTGCAGGGAGGATCCCTCGAGCCTGATACAGATGGGCTCGGAGCTGGAAATAGCTGAAATCTGGTAAGAAAAAGAAGAGAGAGGTCCCAGTTCCCCAATCCAGCCCTGTGTGAGGTCAAAAAATGCATGAAGAAGAGGGCCAGCCACGTAGGAGTGGGCACATCCTGCAAGGAATGGATACCACTCCTAGGGGCAGTCACTGTGGTCCTCAGAGGGCCAGCAGATCTCAAAAGATTTGGCCAGCAAGACAAGCTCAGCAGGCTCCCCAGACACCTCTGGGAAGGGCACGGCATGTGAAATGTGCAGCGATGCTGTAAGCATCTGCTGTGGGGCAGCACCACGAGGCCTCAGCAAAGGGGCAGACCTGCCCATTGCCAGTTTGGCAGCACATTCAGTGCCCATGAAGCGTCCAGCCTGCCTGCTGCTCCAGCTGTGAGTGTCCAAACATGTCCTCATGAGAGCAAACTGGACATGCCTGTCCCAGTCATGCCTTGGAGATGATGTGGAGATGATAGATCAGGTCCTACTCCTCGGACATTGCCTTGGGGCAGAACCTCTCACTCCTCTGCTCTCCTGCTCACAGTTAAGCCATGGAAAAGTGGCATCTGCACTCACCATCCCTGCTGAGCCGGCTGGGAGGACTGTATGCCGAGAGCTGGGCTATCTCCTGTCCGCTATCAGAGAGGTACTTGAACTCCTCAGGCAGCTCTGCCAAACAGTTCTTTGCATATTTGGTTACCCCAAGCCACATGTAGATTTCCAGTTTGGCAAAGATCTCACCAGTGTGTAAGCCAGGGACCTGAAAGCACAGGAGGTTTAGCAGGTTTCCCATCTCAGCCATGCTCCCTTCAGACCAGGCTGATCACCATCAGTGACCAATGGAAGAGCACAGGAGACAGAGCACCACACTGGCCGAGGCAAAAGGTAGCGGTGGAACAAGAGCTGCGTTTGCTCGTCAACTCCAGGATTTCAGGAAGGCAGGCAAGAAGCAAGGAAGAAGCAACATGAAGCAAGCAAGAGCACACTGTTTTGGTAGAAACCCTACCTTCATAAAGACAGTCTGGATCTTTGCACAGTCCTTGCCTTTCTCCTCTTCTACTACCGAGTAGAGGATGTTCTGTGCAGGAACTCTTGCGTATGCCACACGCCTGTTGTTGCTGAGCATCCAGATGAGTACATCAGGGAGGGTGCACTGGGGCTGGAGGGAGAAAAGACAGGAATGTCACAGCAGAGGAACAGCATGTATCTTGTCCTCCCTCCACTGACATGGCGAAACCTTCATCTCCTTGCAGGAGGGACTGCTGGCTGCACAGCGCTTTGGAGATCCAGAAGCAAATGAAGGGCCTAACGTTGGGCACATGCTTCCGAAAGTCTCAGCCCTGCAATATGGCTCTGCAGGTGTCCCTCATGTCCTCGCCCTGGTCATGCAGGAAGAACCACTGGTGGCACATGGCGTGTGCCACCAGTACCCTTTCCCTTGAGCAGAAAAAGGCTGACTCAATAGCTGAATCTTTGGTTGGAATGCACGAGGAAGACCTATTCCTTGGCTTGCTTGGACATTTTTGGGGTCAGTCTGGACCGCGTGCAACAGGTTTCATCCAGGTCTTTGGATGCCTGGGTGTCATCCAGGTTGTAGTAGCCCACCTCCAACACGGCTATTTCCCTCAGATACTGGATACCTCCCTCAATGTTGGTCCATTTGCTCTGGGAATTTGCAAGTCCTTCCTTGAAGGGATACCTCTCCTTCACACTTGACAGGAGTCACCACCAAAGACTGAGGACTCCTGCCTTTTTTCCAAGCCCTTTGTCAATGGCCTTATCCTTAGCAAGGGATCCCAGCTTCCTTACCCTCTAATTCCTGACTACTGACTCCCATATCCCAGCATCGGTGTAACCAGCTGAGAACTAGCTCACCTGGTTGACGGCTAAAATATTTCCACATCTCTCACAGCTCACTTAGGGATAGGAATCAGATGGTTTCTGTCTCATCTATGATTTCAGGCTCTTCCTCCTCCTGTTCTTGTGACTGCTCTGCTGCAGAACAGGCTGTGTCTTCTGATTCTTTCTCCTGGTCCCTCTTAGGAGAAGCTTCTTCAACCCGTACTAAACGAGCTGACTTCTGCTGTCATCGTTTCTTTTTAGTTATAGGAGCAATTGATCTAGTGTCTGGTTTAGCTATAGTGTCTATTGGTACGTCTCCCCTCTCTTCTCCCTGAGGGTGCTGCGCACTCTCGAGCAGTGTTTGGCAGGTGCTGGCCAGGGCCCAGCACAGTGTGGCAAGTTGTGCCTCTTTGGAATAGCCCTGGCCATTTTTGTTTTTCAAACATTCTGTCACTTCATCAGGATCCTGTAGTTGTTCCGCAGTGACGTTCCAGACCACTGGAGGTGAAAAGTTCTCCAGATACCTGCCTATATTCTCCCACATGCCATGCCATCCATGACCATACTCTTGTGGACCCTGGGTCATATTCCTAAATTGCTTGTTAACCTTAGACAAAACCAAAGTAATATTCCTAAGAAATGTCAATAGAAGTATTTTAACTACCCAAGGATGTTCAAAATACTGAGAAGTTACTGTAACGAGGGAGAAAACATCACAGAAGAAGGTAGTGAAGGTCCCATTCTGTATTTCCTCCATAAAAAAACCTCTCAGAGGTAGAAGTATAACTGTTCATTGTCTCCATGAGATGGTACTCGAAGTACAGTAATGGCTTCAGTACAGAGCCTAAATACCAGGTTAAGCTCAACGTCAATGTTTTAATAACAAATCTCCCAGGCAAAACATTGCTAATCACTACAGAGCAGAGCAAACTGCAAAAGCCAACACCAATCTTGAACACGTACAGCAAAAAAAAAGAGCATGGCGCAGATCAGATAAATTAATAATTGGGAACAGATGAATGAATATCCTGACCCGCAACTGTTAATAGATATAAATCCCTTCTTTTACACTCTGGTCAATCTGTTATTATCTAAAACCCTTCAAGCCCCACCTTGGACCTCCAGAAGGACTGTCATGGTTTAACCCCAATAGGAGTGCCCAGCGTAAAGCTGTGGTTTAGGTTGAGAGCAGGACTCGCAATACAGCAAATGCACAGACGGAAGCAATGATTTCTTTTAACCTCTAACTTAAGTGTTCTTCCCTATCTCAGTTTCCCTGTCATTAGTGTTTGCACTTGTACTGGGTACTTGTACTTGCAATTTTTCAGTACACAAGTAGCTGTAGCAATTCTGATCCAAATTACTGATCCAATTACTGATCCAAACCAAGACGGCTAGCCTCCAAGCAAGGACTAAAAGTGGCAAGTGTATGTGCAGGGCTGACTCCACAGAGACAGCAACGTTCCCACTGGATCGCAGGGAGCAAAATGGGAGGAGGTTCCTCTCTCTCTGGGGATCAGCTGCAGCCAGCCCGCGAGGCTGGAGCCTGGGCATGGCTTCTCCTCCTGGCGATGGGAGGGGTGACCTCTTGTTCATGCTAAAGTCTACCCTCACGTAGCTACAGGTGTGAAAATGATTTGACTTCACTTAGTGAAAGACTTCTCCAAACTGCAACAACATCTGTCCACCTAACTCCAGCAAACGTTGTGCTCTGGCTTACACTACACGAACGCGCTGATTTTTCCAGAGTTCCTTAAAATGGAGCCAGTAAAACTCTGAAAATGGAGCGTCTCTGCTATGGATGAGAGACCTGATTTCAATGCCAGTTTGAATTTTCAGGAAGGGCCCAGGGTCAGTCCCTGGTGGGAGTGCGGGCAGCCCAGGCCAGGCTGTTGTCCCCAGCTCTGCCTCCCACCCACCGCTGGACTGCCTGGACCCCTGCAAAGCTGCCAAGCCTCATCCCTCATAAAAGCCATTACACAAAATACAGTAACTTCCAGCAGCTGGAACCTGGGATTTTACCTATCAAGGAAAGACAGCAGAGTAAAAGCCCCAGCTCAGGCTAGCAAGAGCCCCGGCAGCCAGCCCGCTGCCCTCTCCTTGCCCATACCCTCTCCTGCTCAGAAATGAGGTGCCCCGGGAGCAGCTGTACCTCTTTAGCCATGAAGCGTAGCTTTGCCAGGACCCTCCTTGTCTCCTTAACCTTCTCCTTGACGTTGGCTCGAGTCAGCCGCCGCCTCACACGCAGCCCCTGCTTTGCATACAGGATCTGAACAGAGAGCACGACCGTCATGCGTGACCCAGGCACGCCGCGCTGGCACCCCTCACGGGGGCTTTGTGGGGAAGCACCCGTGTGATGAGAGCATCCACCCTGCCCCATCGCACCCTGACCTCCACCACAGCTCACTCCCCAGCTGCCGAGCAAACCTCCATGAACCTGTTGTGAGCCATTTAGTGACGGGTGCCAAGACTGGTGACTCCAGTAACCCATCAGCTCTGCTGATACCAGCTGGTAGCAGAAGTCCATGAGCTTTTGCATCATTTGGGGCAGGAAGATGTATAAGGAATAAACATTTCAGAAGCTGGTGGTCTAAGGCTCCAGATAGCGCCTGGGGGAGGCTTTGCACAAGGAGCAACTTGGGGCCACAGAAGTATGGGAATACAAAGATGTAGGAAACTGGAAGAGGGGGCTGGGCTTTCACGTCCCATTAGTTGAAAGTGCACAGATCTGAGGAGACACTCTGTGACGAATGAAAACCAATAATGAAATTCAGAAGGAACTCAGGGTGCAGACTCAGTACGGACTGACAAGACCAGAAAACTCATCTCTTGGGCTTGTTCTCTCTTTCAGAGTCTTGGACTTAGTGGAGTGCCTTCACCGTAGCTCAGGTGATGATGCAAGGGGAGGCACAGGGAAGGGAGCTGGGACCCTGACATGCCTAAATCTTATTTCCTGCTGCTGTCATTGCATTTTGGTCAGCCTTTCAAAGCCTTGTAGTCTGATGGGGACTATGACTACAGCCGTGCTCTGCTGGGCTTTGATGGAGGGTATGTAACTGTGCTCTCATTCAGCCAGCTGGCCTTGTCTGCAGGACTGTGAGTGCCTAGATGTTGCCGTCCCCGGGGACAGGCAGATGGGTGGCTGTTGTAGATCTACTGGATAGGTACCCAGCCTAGGGGCTGAGTTTCCAGGGGCAGTGGGTCTCAGTGAACTCCCCCAAAACTGCCTGCAGGAATAGCCTGCACCAAAAGGTCTCCAGCAACCTGCTGGTCAGCAACATGCATATGCTCAGCCACACGTGCCCCACAGGAGAGGAAGGATGGCATCAGGGCACAGCACCTGCATAAAACTGGAGGCAGTCATGGCCAGCCTCGGCCTCTGCTCCCTGTGCTGAAAGCTGTATTGCTCTGAGCAGAAGTGGTAGATGCTGCAGCAAAAGCCTATGACTGATACCATGAGTCTTAGCCCCAAGTTTCCTTCTCGGCATCAGTTCTAGCTGGTCCTCCAGAAGCAAGCCCCCAGAGCGGGGATCACACGGGCTTCCACCACCACTACCACCAAGGCCACGGCTTACAATGTTGTGCATCAGGTATTTCATCCGACATCTGTCAAGGTTGTTTGGATGTGCCATTGTTTTTCTCTCCGCGCTGAGTGAATATTGCCTGCAATGAGAAAAGCAGCACAGGCTCTGCATCCCCTGCACCCAGCGGGCAGAGCACAGCTCACACAGCAGGGCCACAAGCTCCACACCCCTTGTACTAATCTGGATGCATCAGAAAACTCCCTCTCGGCAATGTCCTCTCTTCTGCAAGCTTTTTGATTTGGAAGGTACACTGGGGATTGCTCAGCACCTAAGGCTCCCTCTCTACTGTCACCATCACGAGGCTGGGGACTTAAGTGTGTATCAGACCCCACCAGGCAGTCACAGTGATTGAAACATTAGTGTCTTGTCTGTGTGACCGAAGAGAGTGAAGAAAATGCCCTAACATTTAGGAAACACCCAGGAGACCAGGAACATCGAGGCTGCAGGCTGTGACCCCTGTGCTTCCCAGGACTGGGGTCTCCTCTCCAAGCTTGAAGAGCTACAAGGTCCTTTCCCCAGGTCGTCCTGGTTTCGATCCACTCATCCACCACAAGAGGATGAGACAGCAGGCTGTGCACAGCCCCGGCAGAACATGATACAACCTCCTAACCTGAAAACGAGAAACGTTAGGAAATCAGGGACATGCTAACCTGCATCCGGCTACAAACTCCTCCAGCACCTCTCTGAGCCGCTCTTCTGCTTTAGCCTTTGGCCTTCTCATGAGCTTCTCCACGTCATCCAGCCCCTGCTCCTGTGGGGAATGCACAACGTTCAGTGAGCTTGTGCCTGTCTGCGGGGTTAGAGTGAAACATTGCAAGGATGCGCTTGCCACAAATGGCTCGTGCCCTTCTGCGGAGCTGGGGATGGTGAGAGTGCTGCGGGTCAGCACTGTGCTGCCAAGGACTCTCTGGAGCCTGGGGATAACCTTCACCCTGGTTGTTACAACACTTTGTGTCTCAGTCCTTGAGCAGCCGCTGAAACACATTGGCAAGCTCTGCTTTCAGATTTCTAAGCCGAAAGGGGAAAGATGAGGCCCTGGGAAGAGACTGCACCCCCCTGATGACAGCCCAAGGCCGAGAGTCTGTTTGCAGCAGCATCTCCCCAGTGCACACGCAGCTCAGGACTGGCAGCAGAGGAGCTTTTTGTCACAGACATCGCGTTACCTGCACCTCCAGGAGACACCGTCAGGCTGCGGCACCGCACGGTCAGGTGGGACTGAGCCCCACGAGAGAGACAGACTCACATGGAGCTGAGGATGTTTAAGGCAAACATCTCACAGCGCAACTGCTTGTGCTACAAGGAAAGCACACCAGGAAGGACGATGCCACAGACAGACACCCTGAACACGCTACCAGGCGCTCTGCCAGCTTGACAATCCAGTTGGAAATGCAGAGTCTCCAGGCGTGATCCTCCCAGTAGCTCCACACATACACGCAGGGTTTCTCATGCGCCATGGGCAGGCAGCTGTACGACCTGAGGGCAGCAGGCACAGGAGGTTACGGTTACTGTTTGCAGAAAGCATGTGCCATTTCACAAAGCAGCGCTTGCCCACCCAGCACAGGGAGCAGCATCTGGGCTCCGTCCTCCTCGTGGAGAACCGGCTGGTTTGGGCCTTGCACCACCGACATGGATGCAAGCCGCTGGATCTGCCATTTGCCATCCCAAACCAGCGCACAGGGTCTCTAGCAGAGAGAACAGCACATGTCCGGATGAACGAGGCTGACGGGAGCGTGGGATTCTGACGAGATTTCTTGCTGCTATGGGACTGAGTAGTAGCAGGCACAGGGCTCACAACACAAACACCAAGACATTGCCAGGCCTGTGCGACAAACCAAGCAGCATTCCCAGAGCAAAGATATCATCAGAAGAGCTTATGTATGTTATGTCTCGCCTGCTCAACACGGGACAGCACGTGCCGGAGTACTCCTCTCTTTCCTCCTCACTGGAATCAAGCCCTTAGGATGCTGCTTGTTAACCAGAAAAGGGACTGCTGTTATTGATGGGTCACAGTTTCCCCGAGACCCTGTCCTTGGCCACCTGCACACCTCAAGCAGACACCGTAGGGTCTGTAGGGCTAACGGGCAATGGCAGCCAGCTAGGCCACGGCAAGCTGCAGGGTTGTAAAGAGGAGAAACATCTGCACAGCCCTCACATTTCTGAGCAGTCCTCTAATAACATTTAGAATAACCAACCTGGAAAGCTGGGACAGGACCAGGGCAGGTGGGAAAGAAGGATGAAGACGACTCACCTGTCATACTCCATGGGCTCTGGTCTCTGGCTCTTTGTCACCGACTTGTTCAGTGCTGCTGAAGCTGGGGCCAGGACTTCAGCATCCAGCTCGCCATCCGAACCAGGGTCCAGCAAAGGCTGATTTTCTTCTTTCACTTCTCCCTTTTCCACCTTTCTCCGTACTTTGGTCACAGCCTCTTCAGCCTTGCCATAGTTTCCTTGAAGTTAAGCATTAAACAGTAAACAGACAAGCAAGAGCACTGTAAAACAAGTTTGATAGCTTGCAAAATCAGAGTGTAATCATCTTGCCGAGAGAAGCACATAGGCATGCACTGCTTTTGGAACTAGCAGTTCAGTAGCATTCAACCATCAGAGCATCACACGGACAACCAGGAGGTCTGAGAGGGAGTTGGGCAATTGCAAGGAAGCCCTTGTGTATGCCTCCGCGTTCCACCGCCTCCACCAAGTGCCTGCTAACTGCCCTCTACGCTCCTACACCGGGGTCAGCAGCAGTCACTCAGGAAGACTTCTCAGTATCAAGCATCTCCACTCATCCAGCTTAGCAGGTGGAGGCTTGGACCTGCTCTCCTACCATTGTTTCCCCATCATTGGCTGTCAGAGACCCTCAGCACCACATGGCCAACCCCAGTAACCCAGCTTCCCCTCCTTTGCTTCCTTTTCTTGCTCCCAACCCTTTCTACCTCTTCTCACCCCCACTTCCCAGGAGAGCTTCAACCACTCTCCCCAAACAGACAGTTCATACAAATACTGCAAACCTCCAAGCCCATACGACAGCATCCAGACTTCTAAGGTAATTCAAGCACTGTGCACGCTCCCCAGCCTCATCCCCCATCCTTCCCGAGTTCCTGTTTCAGAGGCACAAGCTGTGCCTCAGGCACCTTAGGACGGCAGTGCTGCCTTGGGCTGTTGGAGGGAGATTCGCACTGTTTCCGTAGTTTCTGGACCCAGGGCCCTGGGGAACACCCACCTATAGAGACTTCAAAGCTGACAGGCTTGTTGCTGAGAGAGGAGTCCAACATAGTGGCTTCAAAGAAGGCAGCAAAGAGGAAGAATTCCTCCTTCCTCCCCAACGCATTCTAAGCAAGGAGAGAGAAAACAGCCCGAGAGCCTCATGTACCAAAACACTGCATCAGCAGAAACTGGGAGAGCACCAGGGCATGGCCGGTGCCTCCCAGCCCTCCCAAGGGACATCCGTGGGACATTGCTGATGCCACCACCGCTGGGCTGCCATACACAGGACAAGTTTTCTTGGAAATGCTGGGGGGTTGTTGCAGAGCCATGGCTTTGGCTGATGCTTGCGTGAAGCCACCGAGCAGGTTTGTAGGCTAAGGGATGGCTACCGTACCAACACTGCTGCATCTTGCCTGCCTTTCTCAGGCCAAGTAGAAACCCAGAACCAGCTCACAGCTCCCTGGCTCCGGGAGAGAAAAAGTAACATGCTCAAAGGCAGCCGTGCCCTGGGAATAACACTCACGTGAGAGTCCTCCTTGCACCAGGAAGGCAGCGCATGTGGGGATGCTCCAGCCTTACCGTGGGAGACAGTTTTGGGGCTGCAGGTGTGGCCTCGGCTCTTGCAGAGGCTCAGAGCCCTGGATGGCCCAGCAACGGGCAGACTGGATTTGCCCCAGCACCATTATGCCAGCAAGTGATCCCACTGCCTCTTCCCCATGAGGCCTGTCCATGCCACAGATCAGTGTGGGTCAGCCATGCCAGCACAGCAAGACTCACCTCGGGGAGCGGATGAAGCTCTTCCACCTCCACAGTGACCTCCCCGGGCTGCTCGGCCTCCTGAGAGCCCCCAGCCTCCTCCTCTCCCTGCAGCTGGCTCAGTTCTTTGGCTTTCTCCTTGGATTTCTTACTTTTCTTCTTCAGCTTCAGTTTGCTTAGGGCACCTTTCGTCTTGTCCCCAATCTTCCTCTCTGCCACGCTGGGGCTGCTGAAGATCTCCACCGTGATGGCCATGAGGAGGCGCCCACGGTAGAAGATCCCCTCGCCCATGCCCTCGTTGAGGTCCTTGTGGATGTCCCGCAGAGCCGAGTTCTGGGGGGAACCGTACAGGTTCACCCAGGCTGGGCCAAACGTGGGGTTAAAGCCTGCAGCAACAGGGACAGAGTCTAGTTACACCACAGGGTGCTGCTGCAGGGATCTTCTCCCAGGAAGACAGGCCAGGAGGCAGAGATGTGAGCACAATTCAGCCGCTCCTGCTTCCCACCTCCAGGAGATCACCATGGCAGAGCAGAGGGTGCATGGCACGGGGTGCCCAAGATGCCCTGCCCCAGGGGCAGCTCTGCCAGCCCTCACCATTCCTGCCAGGGTCTGAGATCTGCTGCAGGTCAATGTAGTGTGTAGCAATGGCCACGTCACCAACATTGGCATCATCCAGCACCTGGACTTTTATCTTCCTGGCCAGAGGTGGGAACATCTCAATGAAGCTGATCTGCTCGTTCCACACAGGCTCAGTGGTGCTGGTCTCCACCGATGTTTCTCCCTGGGAAGGAGAAGGTATGAAAGCCGTGCAGTCCCAGCCCGCAGCCAGAGCAAGGGATGCCTCAGAGCCTCTCTGGGAATGGTATGTCCTCCTGTCCCGCCTGCAGACAGTGCCAGGCAGGCTCTGGAGATGGCATTATCCCTGCTCCTGCCCCCCGCCCAGCAATTGCTCTCTGTGCTTCATCAAGGGGGGCTGTCCCAAGGCCCCGGCCGTGCCCTACACAGCCAAGGGCAACGCTGGAAACAAGCGGGCAGCACCACCAGACCCAGAGGTGTCACAGGGTCCCCCGGGAACACCCCGAGGCTGCCCAGGGACTGATTCTCATCTTAGTGGATATCACAGGATCAGAAACCCTGGCCTTGGGTGCAAGAAAAGGGCCGTTAGCTCAGTAAACTCTCCCAAGGGTGTCAGGCTGGGTCCAGCTTGCCACAGAGGACTTCGGGTTCAGGATTTATTTGACCCTCTCCCTGTGTTTAGGGATACGAAATCTCTGCCTGCACAGCCAGTAGCCCAGTCAGGGGCTGCACTCAGGGCTGGGGCTGTCCCCCGTACAGCTCTCTGCAGAGACAAAAGTCCCGTAAAAGCCTTCTCATCCATGGCCACACGGCTCAGACCACTGCCAAAGACAGCAAGACCTGCTCCCAGCCTGTCTCCAGCAGGATTGCTGTATCCCATGGAGGCTCCTGGCAGCATTAGCCCAGCTCGTTCTGCTCCACAGCCAAGGGAGGATCAGCCTGGCCCCACGCAGACCCCCCGGCAGACTCACCTGCTGCCCACAGAACGAGACCTGCACGTATGGGTCAATAAAGATTTTTTTCTCCCCTATGATCTTGGAGAAACCACCCATGATGCCCGCGCTCATGCTGGGCAGGCCCTCGGCACGATAGAGCTTGATGCAGACCCTGGCCCAGGGTCTCTCTGCAGGGACTCTCTTAGGCAGCAGCAGGTTCCTGAAAGACAAATTCATGTTCTGGCTCCCTCCTGGGGCCCAGAAAACACGATGCTCGGAAATGCCCTGACTGACAGGAGGTTTGGATCCTGCCCCACCACAGGTCTCTTTCCC